CCAGCATTGCCCCCCTGCTCCTCAAAGGAGTCCCCCTCAGAGACCAGCAGCTCCAGTTCATCCAGCCACTCCGAGGAGTCTTTCGCCGGGCGCCTGCCGCCTCCTTCGCCCGTCTTCTCCTGCACAGAGTTGCCCCTGGCGGAGCCCCTCCAGCCCGCTCGACCACCCCCCGTCCCCGCCGCCAAGTCCCGGCAGGAGAGGCGCGCCACCAAACGGCGGAAGTCGCGCCAGACGGAGCTGACGGAGGGACACGTGGCCTCGCTGCCCGGCCTGCAGCAGCTCATGAAGCGTAGCAAGGAGCTCGGCGTGGGCACCATCAGGGTGACGGCGGTCAGCGGACACGTCTGAAGCTTTATATTCCAAAGAACCACATTTTTTTCCCCCCCTCGTCTCGTCCCTTGAAAAGACCTGTTAATGGTTACGTGCCTTTATGAGCCCTTGTAATCGGTGTTCAGAACACACAAATGTCTATTTGCGAGGACAAGTCCATTTGAAGCGTGCATCCACAAAGTATTCAAAGCATGTATCATAGTGAGAGAACTGAGTTACAAAATGGATTATTATATATTTTCTTCACTAGTTTGCCATTATGACTCCAGGGACCACCATCTTTGTTCACTGATTGCCTCCCAGTTCTTGTGGGTTGACTCCCTCAGCAGCCTGATGACGAAAACACTAACTTTACAATTTCACTTTTTTCAAGAACAATAAAAAAACTTGTATTCCCGTAAGTAAAATGTAAGTCTTGTTAAATGTTCGCACCTCTTCTGTCGGCTCGCAGTAAAAAAAAAACAACTAAATGACTAATTCGGACAAAAAGATACAAGTTTACTTTTTCACCTTGACAATATTGTATACATCTCATTATGACTGTTTTGTAGGCAATATTTGATGGGGTTTTTTTTTTCACAAATTTCACAGACACACATGTCTTTTCTGCAACCTTACACACTAAGTCCGAATGAGCAGTTTTATTTATCTATTTATTTGTGTTTACACACTGGCTGGCCAGTTTGAGTAGTTGAAATAATTACATCAAAAGCGAAATAATTCTTGTACATGCAAATACACTCACTGGTACGGAGGCGGAGAAGCTAGCTTGTTGACTTCACATTTAGTCTTTAAAAAAAAAAAGGTAGCAGTCACATGAGCGGACAAAATCTTCACTCTGCTGCTGCTGCTTTCTGATTGGCTGAAAATCAGCCTACACTTCACTTTTAGTTACCTCCCTTTCCTTTCTCGAATCTGCTGCATGCTATGGCCTCTATGTGCTCATCTTTAAAAAGTTTATTTGATGCATTCAAACAAAAAAGAAAGTGTTTTCTGATAGGCTGGTTGTTTCGACACATTGGGAACAATGATACCCCTCTTCACCTACTTTTTATGATGATGATTATTATTTTTTTGCACAATTTTCCCCAACTGTGAAAGAGGATTTTAATATTTTCTCATAAGCTTGGTGAGTCTGCATCTTTGTGTGTGTGTGTGTGTGTGTGTGTGTGTGTGTGTGTGTGTGTGTGTGTGTGTGTGTGTGTGTGTGTGTGTCTGTGTCTCTTGTTCATTCACTGAAAGTTTGCACGGATTTTGTTTTGAAAGGGTAACAGAGGTAAAGATGGTTGGATGGAACACTATTCATGTTATGCCAGTTGTCATTTTACCGCTTTTTTTTGTCTGTGTTCATGTGAGATGACTTATTTCTCTCGTGTTACAAGAGACTACTTTGCTTCTATTTAACACAGAGAGGCTGCTGAACGACCTCCGTTTGCACTTTTTAATGACTCCTCATGCCTTTTTTTTCTACTTTTCAAAGTGTTTTCTTTTGGTCTTCACGTTCTCTCTGCTTCCTCTGAAAAGCTGCACAGTATTTTGTTCTTTTTTTTTGAGCAGAAGTGAGTGACTACAAAACTGTAGTGCCATTAGAAACTGTGAATTTCGAAATAAAACGTTTTTTTTTCGTCTTTGACTCAGTCTTCCACGTTTCTTTTGTTTCTGTGGGTATCATGTTGCATCTGTGAAAGGAACAGGGAAGCGATACGTTCTCCGAGGGCCAGATTATACTGTAGAAAATTTGGCTCTTAGTGGCTATCTTGACAGACAGAAACACAGTCCCAACACATTTACTTGTGAGAGCGAGGAAACCCAAATGTGAATTTTTTTCATCAAGGTGGAGAGAAATATGAAAAGTTACCAAAGGGAAAGCCTGCTAGAACAGCGGACATCTATTTGATGTTAATAAGGGACTTAATATGGTGACAATGTGGGCTGACTACTATTTACGACCACGTAATGTGAGTTGGAATGTGATTGTGTTAATCCTTAACATGGCTAAATCCCAATTTATGACACGGCAGGGCTCTCCTGTCAACTGCTCTCTGCTTTAAATGATTTCGTGGCGCAGTTAGTCCCCCGAGCCACAAGGTGTCGCTGTCACTATAGGTCACCGACGGACTTTTTACGTTCCTCCTTCAAGATGGAGGACGAGGTGGATGTTGACATCGAAGGAGACGAGTTCGATGTTAATATCGGGTAATGTCCTTTTTAGTTCCGAAAATTCTCATTTATTATGGCTTTCTTGTTACAAGCCTTTCACTCGCACATCCAATTTTCGGGCTCCCGGTCGAGTAGTTTCCGTGAAACTAGCTAAAGTGAAGCGGAGCATAGTTGTGTTGAGCCTGTCAGGCTTCTGTCGTATCCTGAATGATTATTGTTAAACGAGTAAATGACCGGTTTAAGATTACGCCTAATGCACTTTATAGTAGCCTATACATCGCGAGTTTAGTTCGAACGGGTAGTTAGTATATGACCTATATAATCCTCTCAATGTATGCCACTATGCACCTTGAAAGGGCACAACCGATTGTCAAAGTGTAACACGAGTTTACACGATTTTCCTTCAAGACAAGCGCTTTTCTGCTTCAACTTTATTTTTATTAGTTTGATAAGTAGAAAAAAATGATAAAACAGCAAATACCTTCGAGTCATGTGTTGCTAACCCCCCACCATCATTTTTCAGTGTTGTGACTGAGGTTTTTTGTGACCATGTGTTTGGCTGTCAAATGTGTTTAAAATAAATGTAATTCAAGAGGGAATGTTCTTGAACTGTTCAAGCTTGTCATGTTTTTTTTTTAATTGATTTCTATGGTCTTGGTTTTGTTACTGTCTCGGTCTTGACTCCCAAAGGTTTTGGTCTTGGGCAAGACTTGGTCCCGGATAGTGTGTGTGTGCGTGTGGTTTGTGTGAGTGAGATACTAATTAGGCACTAGTGAATGATTCAGTGTTAATTCTATTACAGTGAGCAAGATCCAAAAGGGTTATTTCAGGAGCAGTCTGCGTGGAAGAATAATGTGGGCATTCTGGTAATAAACCTTTCTATTAACGGCGCTTTACTCTTCTCATACATTCTGAATCCGCTTATGTTGACAATATGTTTTTGCCATTCAGCCCTGGGAGTTGGATACGTCCATCAGCAACGAAAACCGAGAAGCTATCCACAAAATGCTACTGGAGGAGCAGTATCCTTTTTTTTTTCCCCTTCAAGGCCATGAACTCATCACACAGATCACCCATGTCTGTGCTTCATTTATCAGCTTTCGAGCCGAATTCTTGGTTGATCTTTTGTCCTAAACTACTTTTAGATACTACCTGAAAGGCCAAACGATTCCCGACCATATTTGGCCCAGTGATGCCAACAACAAGCCTAAAATGAGGAAGTAAGTACATGTACAAACAGATAGAACAGATATTTTACAGCAAAATATTTACTTGGTTCCTCAATTATACATAATCCCATCCCTTTAAACTTGTCTCACCTGCTGGCTTCCTGTTCAGATCTCCGGCTAAGACTTCCTCCTCCTCCCGATGGTCCAAACAGGAAAAAGAATTGTTTGAAGAGGGGCTGGTACGTTTTTAAAACTGATGCATCATCATCATCATCATCATCATCAAAATGAAGCATGTCGGCGGTCTTGTCGGCGTGTAGGCGCAGTTTGGGCGAAGGTGGACAAAAATTGCCAAGTTGGTGGGCAGCCGCAGTGTCCTTCAGGTCAAGAACTACGCCAGACAGTATTTGAAACACAAAGTGAGTCGTGCTCATTTCAATGGAAATTACTGCAAGTATTATTAAGGAATAATAATGATGACATTTGTGATTACAGCCCTCAAGTCATCAAGTCGATTTTATAATGTGTGCTTTTATTTATAAAATCATTTACTTTTTATTTCATCTCATATTTGTCGCGTAATTTTTTTGGTACATAGAAAGATATAAATAAAAACATCAGGTGCATTCTTTTTTCACTTGTCCAGCTTGAATAGACTTATATCCCTTTTATTTGTGTCACTCTTCTTCTCAAAAAAATGACACCAACCAAGCCCACGTTTGCTTTTTTTTTTTTTTTTGTCACCCCGCAGGCCAAGATGGCACCGGGCATGGCGGCTCCCTCTGCAAGCGCTGCACCGCCCTCACCGCACGCTCAGCCCAGCCCTGCCAACACGGTACGCATGGAGATGCTGGATGAGGACGAGGACGAAGACGTGGACATCACCGATGACCTCGGCGGCGAGGTCCAGCCCGGACCTCCGCCCGCGCCTTCGCTCGGCCTCTTGGAAGAGCCCGCCGAGGACCGGGAGGCTGAAACGTCAACAGGGTCCACGCGGGCGGAGGAAGAAGAGAGGGAGCATACTGCAGAGCCTTACGGACAGGAAGAAGATCACGAGGAAGAGGAGGAGGAGGAAGAGGAGCTCAATGTGCCGGAGCAGGAAGTGGAGCTGGACGTGGAATGCATCAGCGAGGACGAAAAGCAAGCCATCCCGGAGTTCTTCGAGGGACGGCCTTCCAAGACACCCGAGAGATATCTGAAGATCCGCAACTACATCCTGGACCAGTGGTGAAGCCAGAAAACACTTTTAAGTACGTAGCGCACAGTAGGAGCGTGCGGACCGCTAACGCCGTTGTGGTGATATCACAGGCTGAAGAGCAAACCCAAGTACCTGAACAAGACCTCGGTGCGGCCCGGCTTGAAGAACTGCGGAGACGTCAACTGCATCGGGAGGATCCACACGTACCTGGAGCTCATTGGCGCCATTAACTTCAACTGCGGTAGGAATCCATCCATTTTCCATTTTCCGATCCGCTTATCCTCACAAGGGTCGCGGGGGATGCTGGAGCCTATCCCAGCCGACTTCAGGCAGGAGGCGGGGAACACCCTGAGCCGGTTGCCAGCCAATCGCAGGGCACACAGAGACGAACAACCATCCGCGCTCACATTCACATCGAGGAACAATTTAGAGTGTTGCATCAACCTGCCATGCATGTTTTTGGAATGCGGGAGGAAACCGAAGTACCCGGAGAGACCCACGCAGGCACGGGGAGAACATGTAAACTCCACACGATAAGGCCGGAGCCAGAATTGAATCCCGGCACCTCCGCACTGTGAGGCCCACGTGCTAACCAGTCGACCACTGTGCCGCCATTTATATTTCAGTTTGTTTGGAATTGTTTTGGTGCACGGTGGACATCTGCCTCACTGTTCTGAGACCGCGGGTTCGATTCCGGCTTGCAGCCTTCCTGTGAAGAGTTTGCATGTTCTCCCCCTTATGTGTGTTTTCTCCCAGTGCTCTGGTCTCCTCACAAATCCCCAAAGCATATTCTGCACTTATGTCTTTGTTATTTACATTTTCTGATCACAATTTTTTTATCTGCGATGTCCTTATTATTTATAAATTAATCTGTATTCATTTATTGTTGACCTATTATTCATTCATATTTTTTATTATTATTTTTTTTAATCTTTATTTTGTATGAAATTTTCTGATTTGTCAGAGCAAGCGGTGTATAATCGGCCCCGGGTGGCAGACCGCACGAAGCAGAAGGAGGGCAAAGACGTGCGGGAGGCCTATCAGCTGGCCCAAAGGTTACAGAGTATGGTAAAGTGGCCATTTTTGTCATCCTTTGCCGGAATACGAATGTGACTATTATAGCATTTAAACATGAACGCCCACAAATTTCCTGGTTGCTTGTGTGCCGGCAGCGGACCAGAAAGCGACGCGTGAGAGACACGTGGGGAAACTGGTGTGACGCCAAAGACTTGGAGGGACAAACATATGAGGTGTGTAACTCACACGCGCATAAATTTCATTTCATTTCATGACGCTAGCATCTTCATCTTTGTTATTGTTAGCATCTTAGCGCCGTGGAGCTGGCCATGCATAGACAGCGCCCCAAAGCCTGCAAAATGTTCAGACACAGAGGGTGAGCGGCAAACTTACGTCTCTCACACACACACACACACACACACACACACACACACACACACACACACACACATTTCCAAACGTCATCCATTGTGTTTGGTAACAAGCACCGTCCATGTTACTTGTGACTTGTTTTAGGTCTTTTGATCCCTTCCAGCTCATTCCATGTAGGTGCTTTGGAGAGGACGCACAGGTCGGTGACTATCACGAGAAGGAATCTCCTTTAAACCCATAAATTTTCTTTACAGTAATATGTCCTCCCTTAGTCTGATCACGGAATTCTGATTAATAATGACTTTGTGAGATAAGCGGTAAAAGCCACCGTTTTTTTGTCCATCTCAGGGGGCGGCCATTGTGCCACTCTGTGTTGACTGAAAATGACTTCACAGTCGCTCAGGGCTCAGGTAACGACCAATCACGGATCACCTGTTTTGTGAAGTTGAGCCATGATTTCGTGAACCCCGAGCGACAATGATGTCATTTTCAGTCGACGGCCACTGTCAAAATGGCTGTCCTTTGAGATGGACAAAAACGGGTGAATTGTACTGCTTAGCTCTTATGCCACAAACACAATATTAATCAGAATAACATGTTTAGACTAGCGCGACTGCATATAACTTATTTTTGGCACAGGCGATTTTGCCACTTGACTTCTTCCCCTTTAATAACTCACGTTGAAACAATAAAGTTCTCATCACCATGTAATTTTTCCAGGAACCATTCAGAGTCATTGTGTGTGCTGAGACGCTGCTGATTATGGACATGGTAAGCACGCGTTCATACAAACTAATGTGGTTAGCAATAAATAAATAAATAAATAAATATTGAGAGAAAAAAATGTCCAGTAATGTTATGGAAATGATGTCCCTCATATTGTGAGCACATTTTATTTGTTGCATGAATCACCTCATATTCCAGGACAAAATTTAAAATTTTACAATATTAAAGTACCATAGCATTGTGATGACATAAAAAGGGTAACAATTGAGTTGTACTTTCATGTATTTTTTTAACGTACCAGTAAATGACAAGAAAATGTGTAATTTTGCAATAATTATCTTACTGTATATTGTCAAGTGCTTTTTCTGTTTACCCTTTACATGATCATATGACACGACAAAACAACAGCATCATTTTGTGGGACTCAAATCGTAATTTTATAAGAGTAAAAAATGTTATCTTACAACAATAAAATTGTACTATCATGATCATTTTGCGCTTTAAAATTACACCATTTCCTCACAATAACCCCGCTTCAGTTTTGTAAAACTGCTTTTTTTTTTTTTTTGTTTTTTGTTAAAGTACAAAGTTTTAAACCTTCATTTTACGGCAACAAGTGTATGATATTACGATCATGAATGATGTCCAATACAAGAGCCGTACCCGTTTCGATTTGACAACATTTCTCCACAAAATTTAACAGATTTGATTGATTTTTACCTAACTGATGACATTGGTTTTCTTCCTTTTTTTTCCTCTTTTTTTTAAAAATTTTTTTAACAGCTTTGTAGGATGTCTTTCCATTGATCATGTGTTCTTAATGAAATGAATGCACTGACCTTATTTTTTTTTTCCCCCCCGGTCAGCATGCTCACGTGTCTCGAGGCGAGGTGATCGGTCTTCTTGGAGGAACTTTCAACGAGGAGGATAAAGTGTTGAAGGTGGGGAGTACGTTGTTGAATATGAACACAGACGTCATGGGGACTTGACGGACACACGCGTGCGCCTAGATCTGCGCGGCGGAGCCGTGCAACAGCGTGAGTACGGGGCTCCAGTGCGAGATGGACCCTCTGTCTCAGACGCAGGCCTGCGACGTGCTCTCCTCTCTGGGCTTCAGCGTGGTGGGTTGGTACCACTCCCACCCGTCCTTCCACCCAAACCCGTCCGTGCGCGACATCAACACGCAGGACCAGTTCCAGGTGACGTGAAACAAAAATTGGCCCGCTCTTCCTCGAGCACAAGTTTATTCACTTCGATTTTATTTCTAGAGTTATTTCTCCCGCGGTGGTGCTCCGTTTATCGGGATGATCGTGAGCCCATACGACCCGGCCAATCCCTCCCCCCATTCCCAAACCACCTGCTTGTTGGTCAAGGAGTGCCAAGACCCGCCGGCACCTCAAAGTATGTTGAAATCAAACCATTTTACCGGCTCAATTATTTAACATTTTGTGTTTCTTCACAGAGCTTCCCTACAAATTTGACTTCCTGCCATCACAGGACATCCCAGACTGGGATCAGTCTTTAAGAAGAGCTCTGTGGATCATCCACAAATACTCCCGAACATCAGGGTGAGAAATCCAACTCCACGTCCACCATTTTGGTTTGATTAATCGGCTTGCCGATGCAATAGGCTGGAAGCAAATGCCACATTTACAGTATTGACAAGGTCATTCAGATTGTAAAAATTTCATCAAGAAGCTCATTGCATCATAACCTCAAATTGTCTTTTATTGGAGAGATGTACCCCTCTAGTGTATTTCTGACGTTTTCTTTCTAGGAGTGTGCGCATGGAGCGATTTTTCCGGAGAGACTCCCACCTCACCTGTCTGGAAAAGGTAACGACACACATCCATCAAGCGAATATCACTCTTAAAGGGACAGTGTACCATTTTTTGTTCTCCACGTTCTTATACGTTCAGATGCTGTCGTCGCTGGCGAGGTACCTGGAGCCGCTGCCCGACGAGAACGAAGAGGGAGAAGCCTTCCTCACTCAAATCCACGCTCTCTTCCTTTCTGACTTCATCGCCCAGCAGCCCATTGAAGGCGAGCACCAGGAGAGCAATACGTCAAGTAATTCGCCCGCACCCGTGAGTTTGGGAGATGTCGAAGAGGATTCGGGAGGCGACGAAACCCACTCGAGCAACATACTGCATCTTGGCTCTGTGCTGTCCACTGGACATGACTATTTACTCTGATATGATTGTATTTAGAATGCTACATTTGTATATACTTTTTTTTTAACCAATATATTATGCAACTATATTTCCACTGAGATTTTAAATACATTCTGGACATACAATACACTGAACTCTCTAGAAGAAAAAGTTGCTTATTTGTATACACAGTTTCAAGTGACCCGATATACAGGTTTTTCAAAACACGATCTGTTGCTCAACGTTTTTTTTTTTTAACTTGCAAGGAAAGATCTGAGAGGGCGAGACGGTGGCAGTAAACTTTTTAAAAAATGTGAAGTGGGCCTGCTTACTTTACACGCATGCTTAATGTACTGTCAAACTAAACATAAAACAAAGAAAATCATACCACATGACTTTGCTTTGGGAAATTTTTGTAGCTTATTGCTAATAATCCAAAATGACATAAAAGGGCTAATGGCAAATATGTCACGGTGTTACAACCGTTTAAACAATGGATAACCAACATTGCTGAGCCATTGTGACCATTTTCTTTACGTAGGCACAGGTAATATACATGTAAATATAAAGACACTCTCACTGGAAGGAACCACATTGTGAAAGCATGATTCCAATACATAAACTATTAGCATTCTGTTTCATGTGTTACTGATGGATATTTGTATCAAGTCATAGAGTAAAGTGCTATTTTTCTTTTACAATATTTTTCTTGTTAGTGGTAGGATTACTTTTCATTTTTACTTAGATATTACTACATGCATTTTGCATTATACTGCTCTTAATTATTACTCGAGTCACACTATTCATAAAGTACAAACCGTTCTTAAAATTACTCATTTGGTACAAAATGATATTTTTAATTTTTATACTTTTTTTTTAACTGGAACACTTCTGACGAGCTGGTTTCGAAGGGGATTTAGGTAGTTCTTACGATGTATACTGTTTATAAAAAATATGAATGATATCACTGCGAAAAAACATGGTAAAACCGATTAATTTAACTTTGGATTTTAAAATAAAATTCCTCTTGACCGGAACTTGCCTACTCGGAACCTTTGTTTCTTCTCGGGACTTTTCGCACGGACTTATTTTCTCGGGGGGTGGACTTCGTTTTTGATGAGTTGCGGTATTTGTTATAATTAACATTACTGCAAATATTAATGACGAAAACGGAAGAGTAAACAAATCAAAATTATAATTGACATTTTTTGACCGTAGGGGTCACCCGAAAGGTGAAATAATTCTTCTGGACTTATTTACGGGAAGACTTATTCTGCTCGGTGGAACAAGTTACAATTCTCCTCGCATATGATTAAATTCAACGCCCTTTTGTTTTAAACAGCACAAAACATGTCTTCGACCGAAACTCGGTCAAATGTCACCAAGGTTACAAGGAACTCGCGTGACATTGACAGCCAGTGACTTGCAGCGAAGACCTCCATGATGTTTCCTTTCTTAAGAGGGCTTCCGCGAGTTCACCTGACGCGACACCTCCTGGGGTGCCCGCAGTCCCTCTCATTGACAGCTCCTCGCCGGCTTCGATACGGAGCCACTCGCGGCGGCGGACCCGTTTTGCCTTCACACGGCACCACCGGGACGGGCTTGGCCAAAACTGCTCCCCCACTTCCAGTTCCATCATGTGTGGCTCAGTTTCGTACCTCGACCCGTGTGAAGGCCTTACCGGCTCCTCTCATCTGGATGGTGCTCAAGCCTGTTCAAAAGCTCACGGCCATCATACTGGGCAGGTATGTTATCATGTTTAATATCACGAGTAGATTTCTCAGACCAGAAAATAATATTAATATTTTAGGGACTCCGTAACAGTACTAGAAACCTTCTAAAAATGTATAAAATCTTCTAAAATTGATATTTTTATAATTTTATATTTTTCAGATTGTGTTGCACGTGTGTTGGGTCAGAATAATGGTGTAAAAAAATTAATTTGCTCGATCTCAGTTTTTTTTTAATGTCATAAAATCCTTACATTTGAAGAGGGGTGTGTAAACTGTGTATATGTGCTATATTTTGACATTTTTAAGACTAGAAAATGACTGCAGGAAATTATAAAAATATTTATTTTGACTTTAGTACCTTTTTCAACATTTTTATAAAATGATAGCAAGCTATCAAAATACGTTTTTACTTTTTCAACCCAGTACACATTTGCAGGAATTTACAAATATATTTTCTAACATGAGTGCTTTCTTCTGAAATGGTTCAGAAGGAAATCAGGAGACGGTTATTGTACTTACTGGTGTTTCTTTTTTTTTCACCATACTTTTATCACTGCTGGAAAGTACAAGAATATTTTTTGTACTTTTTTCCAATTTTTCAATAAAATGGTCCTTTGATTGGAAAATCCATTTGCGATTGGCTGACAACCAGTTCAGGGTATACCCCGCCTACTGCCTGATGACCGCTTGGATAGACTCCTGCATGCCCATGACCGTCGTGACTATAAGCAGCTCAGGTAATGATGGATGGAGGAAAATCCATCATACAGGGTACATACCAAGATTAATAGTAAAACTACTTGGATATTGAGATTTTCTTAAGAGCAGAATAAAAAAGTAACAACAAATACGAAAAAAGAAAATACAATGTAAATACATATGAGTGTATCACATGACTTGACATCTCACTGCAGGAGTCTAAGGAAGTGGTGGGTGGCGCTGCCTGACAATCGGCGTCAGCTCTTCCGCCAGTGGGCATGGCAGCGGCGCTGGCGGCTGGTGGTGGCAGCAGGCGTGGGCGCCGTTATCACGATCCTCCTCCTCCTCACGCACTTGGATCAATCGCCGGTGACTGGCCGCACGCGCCTTTTGGTGTTCAGCAGGCAGAACTACATGGAGCTGGCGGCCTTCACTTCAGAGGCGGTGAGGCGTCTCCGTGCTTTTACATGGAAATAATTGTGACACTTTTATCTGCTGTTCGGGTTTAAAGTCACAGTGAAGCTCAAATGGAACGACATTTGAAGAGATGTAGATATGATCTAGAAGCACTATTTAAAAAAATAAAAATCCAGAAATTAAATTTAGTAGAATAAAATCCTCTATTCAAAATTACAATGATTCAAAAATACGTACAAAAAAACAAACTATTCAAAATTACAATGATTCAAAAATACGTACAAAAAAACAAACTATTAAAAAAATTACAACAAATGCATAAAATCTATGTTTTTATTTAAACAAAACAAAAACAAAATCTAGAAATACTATTTTTTAATTACAAAAGTAATGACTGAGACAATGGTTAAAATGTAATAAAATCTTGAAATGTTTTTAAAATGCAAATAAAAATCTAAAAAAATTTAATGAGTTACGCGTTTGAATACCTAAAATCAACCCAAGTAAATAAGCTACTTCAATTGTAGCCTCTTTTATACAATACCTCTTTATTTATATAGTGGTGTCATAACACCTGCAGCTGTAGCAAATCGCTTTGCAGAACATTTACACAAAATAGCCCCAAATTCATTTTGCTAACAAGGAATGAGTTGTATGTTTAACGATGGATAACTTCCCGTGTGCAGTACATGGAGGAGTTTGGCGATCGGCTGCTCCCGGAGAGCGACGCTCGTCACCGTGTGGTTGAGCAGGTGGTACAGCACCTGGCCCGGCGTAACCAGGACCTCGCCGAAATGGCCGACGTGGACTGGAGCGTCCATGTGGTGCAGAGTGACAACAGCAATGCCTTTGTGCTCCCGGTTGGCGACCGTACTCGACATCATCATCACCATCACAAAAAAATCTGATTAAAATTCATATTTTGTTTTTTTTGGGGTTGTTGTTACAGAATGGCAAAGTGTTCATGTTCACCGGCATGCTGGAAGCTGTGGCAGATGTCCACCAGCTCACCATCGTACTTGGACACGAAATGGCTCATGCTCTTCTGGGACACGCCGTAAGTCACAACATGGCAGCCGATAAAAGAGCTGCGATCCAAAATGTGATGCAACTTTGTTGATATAGCACATTTTATAACAGCTGCACCTGTAGCAAAGCACTTGACTGATAAATAGCAACAATACAACAACAAAGGAAAATGACCAAATGAGTGTATGATACCAATGAAGTAAGATTGCTTTTCGGAAATTATCTCTGCCAAACCAAAACATTGTGGTTGTAAAATAATCAACATTAGTATATCCCTCTGCTCCTCTTGGGTGATTTATTTAATAAAAATTATAATAATTATAAATTGGCAACCAGTTCAGGGTGTCCCCCGCCTATTTTGACGAATTCCTGGTCAAATTATGTATCGATAAAATAATGAGAGAAGAAAAACAAAGAGGACAAAAATGAGAACACATATAAAATAACAATCACAATAATTATGGATTTTAGTATTTTTTTCTGTATTGTGGTTAAAGCAGATAAAATGCATCGGTCAGCGTTAACAACAACACAGCACAGTTTAGAATGCAAATGTTTTCTTTTACATTTCTTTTTTTTAAAGTCCTTTAAGCTAATTTCATTGTTTGTATTGCAAATATTTTTACTGGTAAATGAATTGCAATCATCATACAATTCCGCCTTTAGCCCATTAAAAAGCCATTTGAAACGGCGTAAACATCCCATTCGTGTTGTTTTTGGTGGCGGGGTTGCGGCCGGCGAGTGTTTACGGCCTCGTTAAAAGTCCATTCTCGTTGTGGCCGTGAACGAGTGTGCCGTCAACTCGTGCAGTTTGGGGAGTTTCAAGCTGGGAGGAGGCTTGTAATTAGATTAAGGCAATGAGTAGCCACAGGACGCCTGATTGACCCAGCTACTCACTCCACCGTTGGATTGCGTCAAATGCCCTGGTCCTCCTCCGCCCCTTGTCACATTCTCCTCTTAACCTGACCTCGGTCTTGACCTCCCTCTTCTCCATCACCTCGTCCTCCTGCAGGCGGAGCAGGCGAGCCTGTCTCACGTGGTGGACCTCCTGTCCGTGGTCCTGCTGGCCGCCATCTGGGCCGTGTGTCCCCGCGACAGCCTGGCGCTGCTGGGTCAGTGGGCCCAGGACAAGCTCACACAGGTGACTGGCATTCACTATATATTAATAGGAAGATGAATGTATGCATTGGAATCTCAAAGGGCGATTGTGGTCTGTTACGTAAGAAAAAAAAAAAAGAACTAGTTTCTACCACTATTACTAAATAGTCGGGCTGGACGATTATGGAAAAAATAATTATGATTATTTTGATTGCGATTGAAATCACGATGATTAAGATGCTTATTCACTGATTTCCAAACGTTGTATTTATTCAACTACTCAAAACTATCATCTTCAGAGCCTCGTGCCCATCCAGTCATGAAGCACAATATTCTGTGAGCCTTGAAAGACCAATCAGAATGCTGTGAATTGGCTGGCATTCATGAGGTTTTCTTTTTTGAAAATGGCTGGCATTGAAAGAGTTCAAATCAAAGACATTTCTGAAGTCTAAAGACATTTGACAGGAGAGGGAGGATGTACTTCTGGTGCCACCAAAGTTTAGTGCATTAGTGGTCCAAACATCTGACCAATCTGTCAATATTTCATGAATGCTGATGCATCGCATTCCATGAAACTTACACGATCATCTGTGTGGCGCCCCGTGCAGTTGATGTTCAACCGTCCATACAGTAGGAAGCTGGAGGCGGAGGCGGATCAAGTTGGCTTGCAGTTGGCGGCGAAGGTCAGCGATTGACTTGGTTACAGTTACTGAAACTGCACACACTGTTCATTTCATTCAAATGTATTCTGTTTGTTTAAAAACCCGAGGAGAAAGTAAAATCAATATCTGATCCAGCAGAAACAAATATAGATTAATATAAAATAGTAAACCTCATTTACAAATTAATTTACATAATAAGTGGAAAAATCTAAAGTAATTGTTTACATCTGTCACTTCCAAAAATGTTTACAAATGAGAATACACCTTGTTAATATTAAAATACAATTTTTAATGAAAAATTAAAGAAATTATTACATAATTCATAAAATCACACGATTGGACATAAAATAGGTTACATCTGAAATTATGATTATTAATAATAAAATCAAGTTAATTGATTACTCTTTCAATAGTGAAGTACAATAAATCAATAAAACCACTGTTTGAAATCTCAAACAAGTAGAAACAAAACAAATGAATGCTTGAACATCGAATTTAACCAAAAAAGTAAATAAATAGTAAACATACATGTGAAGTTTTTAATCATTTCACATTAAATACGAAACTAAAGTACACGAACAAATCTTGACGTCCCCTTCATTCATTGTCATTTCAAAATGTGCCACTAGGGGGCACCATTGTCAAAGAAATCAAACGATGCCTGAGCTCACTGGTACAATTTATAACATTTGGCGGCCGTGTGTGTGTGCGTGTGCGTGCGTGTGCGTGTGTGTGTGTGTGTCTGTGTGTGTGTTTGCATGCGTGTGAGCGCGTGCGTGTGCGCGTGCTCAGGCTTGTGCGGACGTGCGTGCTGGCCCGGTCTTCTGGCAGCAGATGGAGATAAGGGAGCAGCTGAGTGGAGAGCCAAGCCTACCTGAGTGGCTGTCCACGCATCCGTCACACAAGAACCGCGTGACGCAACTGGACCGCCTCGTGCCTCAAGTACACACACACACACACACACACACACACACACACACACACACACACACACACACACACACACACACACTTGCATGCACGCGCACACGCCCTCACGCACAATGTGTATCACGTGTTTTTGTAAAGCAAAAGACAACACGCAGGACCTCCACGGTTTATAAGTTTTTCAAGGAGCTAATGAAGCGTCTGGAGAGATGAACGATTGCCTGCAGCAGGCTTGGGAGAGGAGGAAGGATGGCAAAGGTGCACTGGGTTATTTTCTTTCATTTTATTTTATTTTTTCCTCCTCTCCACTCCAAAAAAAAAAAATCCAGGATATCTGCTTAAGTTTACATCCTGGAGGCGAGCGAGCTGTGTGGCTTAGCGACACAATCAGACGTATCTGCGGGCTAGGCGGAAGCTCCTGTGGAAGCATCAGCATCCACAGTCATTATTTTTGTGTGTGTGTGTGTGTGTGTGTGTGTGTGTGTGTGTGTGTGTGTGTGTGTGTGTGAGAGAGATGGTTTTAACCTTGAGTCGGCTCACCAACCGGCAAAGACGAGCAGATGGCTAAACAAGAATTTTTGCTTGCCTGCGTCGTCTCGTGCTCGGCTGATGGAAAAAGTGACGGGATACAGCTTTGCGGCAGTCCACATAGTTGCTTCAGTCCCTCAAAAATCCACTTTTGCGTGCTTTTTAATCTGTAAATTATATCGGAAAAGTAAATGTCATCATCATCAAATCATAATACAACAAGTCATACATTTAATAATTGAAAGACAAAAATAGAACAACATAGTGGATTCAAATAAAAATAAATACAAATAAGGTTGTTAAAGCACTTTATATGAAGTTCAGAAATTGCAATAATATTATTAAATTCGCATCAAATTAGATATCTGCAAGGCGAGGTAAAGTAACGAGACAAAAGAAGAAAAAAAAAAGATGACACATTAAATCCTGAAATGAAAGCGTTTAAATAATAATTGACATTGTTTTTAAAAAATGGGGATCTTGGTTTTTTTAATTTTTTTTTTTTTTTTTTTTTAATCATGATCAGACAATCCTTCAAAATCTGTTGGACTCTTGATTTCAAAAGACAGCTTGGAGGAATAACCTGCCAATCCGCTTCACATATCAGCAAATGGACGGTGTGATCAAATCAATCAGGGTCTCGTCCGCTTGTGTAGGCATTGGAGTTGAGGGAACGCTGCGTGTGTCCCGCCCTGCCGC